AATACGATGTAAATATATTCAAATTATTATTTCAAGGCTTGTACAGCGCTGTTACTCTCACTGTAGTATGAAAGATATCTGCTACAAAAATGTAACATAAAAAACAGAAATCCAAAATTTTCCACAAATATATTTGATGAAATGAAATAAGGTTTAGCAGAAATATATTCGAAACCAAATATTTGAAACGTCAATATAACATCAATTTGACATCTTCAATGTTAATTTTACAAGACAGCGGCATAACGAAATTGCAACAATAGAGCTTATCATAAACATATCGATTCAGTCAATAAATTTCATTAATAACGATAATAATGGCAAATTATTGTCGTTGTTAAAGCAAACACACTCCATTAGACTCCTCGACGTTTCTAACGTCGGGCCAACGTAGTTGATGTCAATAAAAATTACTGATTAAAAAATAACTCCTATTTTTCGAACATTAACTTTTTTTCCAAATAAGGAAAGATAATGCTGGTTAGCCTTTAAAAATTAAAACCTTTTTTATACTTTCAAAGTTGAAAAAATATATTTATATGAAAAAAATATTTATGAAAATGCATTAAGTATTTAAGCCTCGAAGCTTTATTAAGAATTTTTTTTATGTTTATAAAACATTCAATAAAAAATTTTTCCATTTAAACTTCATAAGATGTATGGAAAAAAAAATTAATAGTTAATTTCAAATAATTGTCTACTACTTTTTTTTTTTAACTTTTGTATGACCGTTGAAATTGTCCTTTTGCACACAAACTAATATAAAAACAGTAAAGATCATCGAGTTTAATTGAAAAAAAGTAAAGATCATCGAGTTTAAAGTGAAATTAAAAAAATTAGATTTATTATTATTGGTTTTTAACATTAAAATTAAACTAGCGCAGTGGAGTATTAACGCAGTACTTACGTTGACTGACTTTTGAAGGATATGCGTACCGTAGTGTATATGCGTATTGACTGCTTATCTAGGTATAAGTATAAATACAATGACGAGGGTTTTGGCTTGCGCAGGCAATCTTTTAATTAAAAAAAAGAAGTATTTCTTAATGTTTATTTTATCTATTGGCACGTTTTTGTTTGTTTTTTGAATAAAAATTTAATTATGTTTAAGTAATTTTATTTATTTTCATTATAATTAAAAAAATTAAATTGCTTTTAAAATATATGACTTAAGTTATAAACTTTTTTTTTTGTGAGAGATTTCATATCAAAAACCTAACTTTAAATTTTTTTTTTACGTACATTCGTACGTAAAAAAAAAAAATGCTATAATGAGATATAGTCTATTCACACGTGCGTGCGAAGACTCACCCAAATAATTAATCTCACAAATGAGTCAGTTTTTAATTGAAAGTCGCTTTACTAAATATAATCTGGAAAATACAGATCTTATGTTAAATGAATATAACTTTTATATACTTCTTTTGGTGATATGAATAGTTTCGTTATTATATTGTTATTAACATAATAATTATTTTTATTATTATTGTTATTGTTATTACTTATTTTTATTTCTGTTTTTACATATAATGGCTTTAACTTTTGTTTTTTGGTTGTTGTTCTTTTTTACTTTTCTGTGTGTTATTGTTGCTGTTGTTAATGTTGTTTTATTTTACTTTACAAGTTCTTTGCTTTAAATTATCCAGCATAGGCAGAGCTACCATTCAAAATAAACTAAAACAAAAAAGACATTTACAAACCAAGACATCATGCAGCATTTATTACTTCGGAAAAATCTGTTTTTTTTCTAAATTCGAGTTTCCTGTGGATGAAATGAATTTTATTTTTATTTTGAAGAGCTGAAGAAAAACTATTCAACAGTTTAAAAATAACTAGAAAATAATAAATTTTAAAAACGACATCCGAATCCCACTGCAATATTTTTAGCTTATATAAAAAGTAATTGGCTCCTAATTACAAACAAACTATGACCAAATTTATTAAAAACCTTATTGTTGCCGTCCAATAAACGCGCAGAAAAAAATTTAACTTTTAAAAAGGAAACTAAGTGATAACCCAGACCTCAAATAATTATATATTTTAGTGGGTGAAAACATCTTAAAGGAGTAATGAGTTCGTCAAAGTTCAATATTTTCGTAATGCATTGCGGTATGGTGGCAACTCGAAGTACATTGACACCATAGTTGCATAACATACTAAACCTGTGGTCAAGGTGGAGTAAAATTTATCCTTATCTGAACAAAGTACTATTAATAGAGTGGATAGATGACGTTACAGTTTTAAAATGGTTTACAAATGGTCACAGTTTTAAAATGGTTTACAAATGGTTCTAAAAAAAAAAAAAACAATATAAAAAATGTGTTTTTAAGTGTTAATTTTTTATCACATATTGATAAACATGTTTTAAAGCAGTGACTAAAAAATAACTTTGTGTGGTTACCGCCTCACTGTCATCATTTGTGTGTTTACCATTTTATTAGTATTATTTGTGTTTACCATCTCATTACCACCATTTGTGTAGTTACCATTTCATTACCATCATTTGTGTGTTTACATCGATTAAACACATTTGAAACAACCTCTAGATGTTATTTTAGAGCTCTAAATAGATAGAGCAATGTTTTTCAAAAGCTAATATCGAATAGAAAGCAATTCGCCTGCCATGGGGATAAGCTGCTTTCTATTAGTCTTCAAAGTAAAACATTATATAAATAAAATGTGGTTTTTCACAGGGTTCTATCTTTGGTCAACTTGTTTTTTTAGTATATACTAATGAGTTAAGTAAAGCTTCTGATCTTTTAAACATCTTGTTTGCTGACAGTACCAATTTATTTTTATCTGACATAAACAAATTTTTTTTTTAATATTAATAAGAAACTTATACAAATTTCTATTTGGATCAAATCCAATAAATTAACCTTAAATATTCACAAAACACTATGGATTCTTTTCCGTTTCTCAACAAAAAAACGTCTTTTGGCAAAAGATTTTCCTAAACTTTTTATCGACACAGTAGAAGTTAAAGAAAGTTCCATTATTAGGAAGATTCCTTAGTATTTATCTTAATGAAAATCTGTCATGGAGAACTTATATCAATTATATATCAACAAAAGTTTAAAAATTGGAACCCTCTATAAGGCTAGAAATTATCTAAATAAAAAAAAAATATAAAAACAAATCATACTCCCACGAAGTTCTATAGATTTTCTATAAATATTTGAAACATATGGCCTATAAAGATTTTATAAAAATTTTATAGAATGTCTATTAATTTTTATAGAAATTGCTATAAAACAATTTTTTCTATAGATATATGTAGAAAAAAAAAGTTCTATAGGAATTTCTATAGAAGCTAACAGAGGTTCTATAAAAATTTTATAGAATTCTATAAAATTTCTATAGGCCATATGTTTCAAAAGTTTATAAAATTCTATAGAACTTTTTTTCCTGGGCTACTGTCTGGGGTAGCACAGGTAAAAGTAAGTTACGTCGTCTTTACCACCATCAAAAACCTGCAATGCGCGTAATATACTTTTTAAATAGTTTTTTAAATAGGAAACTTTTATTTAAAGATATGAATTTTTTAAACGTTTATGATCTTAACATTTATAATACCTTATGTTTTACGTTTTATTTCATGAATAATCTATTATTAAATGATTTTAAAGATATATGCACCTTTTCAGCAAAAAATAAGTATAGTTTGCACAAAAATTGCACAAATCCATTGCCTGCCAATAAAGTATTGATTATCAGACAGATATTGAACGTAATTAATCTGGAAGAAATTGAAAGTAATAACTTCAATGCAACATTTTACAGTGATAATATAAGCAAAGCACCTTCGACTTTGAAACATAAATAAATATTTATAAAAGCAAATTTTTATATATATCAGGTACTTACCTATGTAGTTAGTTTCACCTCCCCGAGGCAAGAAACAAGTTGAAACAAATTCAATTGAAAATTTTACTTAATATAAAAAAAAGCATTTATTTTAACATTACTGGAGTATATACTAAAATAAATAGTTAATAAATAAAATAAAACATTACAAAAAATAAAAATAAACTTAAAACACCAACCGCTGAAAACATTAGTCCTTTTAATGAAAAATTTAAAAGTATATATAATATAATGCTTTTAAATTTTTTTAAATCAATAGCTCAAATTTATAGTTGATATCGTTTTAATGATTTGAATAAAAGCAACTTTAAAAAAAAAATCTAATGAAGCTTAATTAAACGATAAAATAAAAAGTGGTTTTGAAGTATTTTTAAAGTAAACCCCATGCTATGGAAAGTGAATATTTATCTGTAAATATTAAACATTACTGCTCAAAGTGCTGAGTTTTATAAATGTGCGTTTATTTGAAAATTATGAAGTTGCTCTGTGAGTTAAAGGCAAAAAATATTTTAAGCTACATTGGTTTAAAAACTATGGAGCTATGGAACATCGCAGATTTAGTCACAAATATATTAGTGTCTTTTTTGTAAAATATATTGCATGAAAATGATATTTATGAAGGTATTCAGTTATATTAGAATTTCTACTTTTAAATTTATCATGTTTTATTTGTTGTTGGCACGCGTCGTCCGGAGAACGTTTGCTGGACGACTCATGGACGTCCAGACGTCCGTAAGGCGTCCGACAGACGTCCCCCGGACGAAGCATGCCCACTGGGACATCATAATATCGTATCAAATTTTTATATAGCATAACTATCTTTTCATGTTCAGTTTAATACATTATCTCCTTTCGAACACCAAACAAACTTGAGTTAATAAACTGTTTAGGAGAATAAAACGCCATAACAGAGTTGCTTAAATAAAACTTTTTTATTGATTCTACAATGAAAGAAAAAGATAAATTTTTGAATCTGTTGCTGGCAACAGATTTAAAATTTTTTTTGGATGGATTGTAACTTTAGAATCTAATACTATATTACTAAACAGAAAAAACATTTAATACAAATATATTTACTCAACCTAGAAATAATGTTATAATATTAAATCAACGTAACTAGCTTTTTCAACAACAAATTTTTCCATTTTTTGCATCTTTCCGTTATGATTTTTTTTTCCTGAGTACAATATTGTAAAATCAACTCATTAAAAGTATTTAAAATATTAATTATTTGGCGGATTGGAAAAAAACTTTTTTTTTCAAAGTAGATCGCCCGACATTCTGCGTTGCTATTTATCACAGTCTGTGTTGTTATTATTTTGAGTTGCGAATTTAAGATTCTTTCTATTGTAGAAATTTCTGTTATATGGTAAACCCTTTACTACTATTATCCTCAAAAATTACAAAAAAAGTTCCGAATTCTTCAACTCTTTAACATTGTTCTTGCCAGAAATTCTGAAAAAAGTACAAATATTAGTTTATTGTTATATCTATTATAATATAATTATTTTGCCAGACAGACTGAAAAAATAGAAATATCAGTTGAAGTGTCACTTGGTTGTGGTAACAAGTAAGACATTTTTTGCAATTAACAAATATATAAAAACTGATAAAATTTGTTTTCCGATTTTATAATTTAAAACATTATATTATTTTCACCTCATGACTTTTTTATGCACTGTTAATGACGTCTGAAAGAAGAACAAAATTTTAAAATAAATAAACTGCTTTCAGATTCAATGCTTTCACTGGAAGCTATATTAAAAGTACAAAATGGACAGTTCCAAATCGCAAATTGCTTTTGTTGCAAAATTTTTTCAGGCTATTCCAGGCCAAACTTGTTTTAATATGGTTTTAAAATTACTATTGATACACCATCATTGAGAAATGCAGAAGGAAGATTGCCAGGATTTAGTTCTAAATAAAAGTGTTTAAAATAAATAAATGTACAGTTATAATACAACCAAAACAAAAAATTAAAAAACTTTTTTAATTAAAAGTTTTAAACTAAAAGAAAGCTGAAAATAAAAACAGATTTATGAAATATGAGAAATTGTCAATAAACCAATGTGATGCAGACATGGTTTCAAACTTTGTTCAAACTTTGCACAAAAATGTGTAAAAACTTGATTTTTAATTTATACAAATTTTCTTCACTGTTTCTAGATCTAAAGTAAACTTTATTACATAGCAGTTCCTATATTGCTTTATGTGTGAGGTATTAAACAAGAAAACTCTATGTGTGAGGTATTAAACAAACTCATTTTTTGTGTTTGTTTTAACTATTAGTTTTTGCAAATGTTATTTTATAATTTAATGACAGCAAACATTTGTATAAATAATTATATTCAAACAAAAAGTTAGATTCAAACGAATAACGAGTATAATTTAGAGTGTGTGTTATAAAATAATTTTAATTAATGGTGCGTTTTAAAACAAAATTATGATATAAAGCCGATGTCTGAGCTATGCGTTGGCTGATAAACAGTATTTGTAGGTAAAATATGTCTACTTAAATAGTTGATTCGTTTCAAATTATTCTTGCTTGAAAGCAAAAAACTTAAGCAAAGAGAAATTACATTTGTAGTAAGTTAAACCATATAAAATTAAAATTTTTTATTTAAAACATTATATTGCCAGGATGATAAACTATATTTTATTAAACTTCAAACAAGGTTTTTGAAAGAGTTTAATTTTTTACGCAATATGACAGTATTTTTTTCAAAATAAATTATGATATAAAACCGAAGTCTGAGCAATGCGTTGGCTGATAAACACTTTTTTTAGGGAATATATGTCTACTTAAATAGTTGATTCATTTCAAATAATTTTTCTTGCTTGAAGGCAAAAAACTTAAACAAAGAGCGACAGTGGCGGATTAAGACTTCTTGGGGCCCGGGGCTATTTTTGTTTTTGGAGGCTTTTTTATGGGCCAGAGCCTGAAAATGACTAAAGAAAGAAAAAAAAAAATCCTCTAAAATATTTGGGGGCCCCTAAATTTGCGGGGCCCGGGGCTATAGCTCCCCTTAAACTTCAAACAAGGTTTTTGAAAGAGTTTAACTTTTACGCATTATAGCTGATATATTTGAGACGATATAAAAAGCCTAAAGATCCTTGGTTTATTGAATTTTGTTTTAAATTTTTTGAATTTCGTTTTTTATTAAATCAAAAATTAAGTTGTATTAATGTAGGAATTTTAAAAACATTTTTTTTTAATTTTTTCAATGTTTTTAAAAAACGTGTCTCTAAAGTTATATCTTTATTTATTTATAATTTATTTATTTATTTGTTTGTAAATTTTTGAGCTGAATAAAAAAACAACAAGATGTTATGATAAAAAAACACTTTATAAAAACTATAATTTTAGTAATTTTTATTTTCATAAACATTACTAATATGATTCTATTTTTAATTTTATATTTGATATAAAAGTAGAGTTTTAGATAAATGTCAATAATCAAGCTGTGTGTAATATATAAATTAAGCAGTAACGTTCTATTCTAAAGTTAAAGCTGTAACTTTGATGTTATTCTGGTTGTAATTTAGCTGTAATGTAAAGGTTATAAATTTTTTTCTTCCTTAGACTTGAGAAAAAAATAGAAAAATAGAAAATGTATTAAAGTACTTTATTGTATTTCATATTTTGGTGATAAACTGTTTTTAAAAAGTTAAAACATTTAATATTAAAAATTAATCATTAAATAATTAAGATAAATAAAAATATTAAAACGTTCTATATTAAAAAAAAAAAAGTTAAAAATTATAACCTGATGAAGAATCAACTTTTTTTATCATGTGGATACGTTAGCATTATAAATAATAGAATGCGTTTATTGGAGATTTATTTACCAAAACACCGCACACTAAAAAATGACTAATAACAGTTTCAACAAATGCGCTTAATCCATAAAATGTTGTCTGGTTTTAAAAATAAGTTTTACATTTTATTGCCATTTTGACTAGGAATGAAGTATAATGGAAAATATTCTATGTAGTATTTTAGTGTGTGGGCTTGTGTGTGTTTGTGCGAGTGTGCGTGTACATTACAGTGTGTGTGTGTGTGTACATTACAGTGTGAAACTCTGGATTTATAGTTGCAACAAAATAAAAAACTTACTTTTCTAATTTTTTCATTGATGAATGTTAAGTTGTGTAGGAGATTGGATTGTGCAATCAGCGCAGTAAATGTCAATAAAATTTTGCACTGGATGCAGAAATGTTCCAAAAAATCTCTTCAAACTTTAGTTAAGTATTTAACTTCAGTTGAGTGTTTAACTTTAGTTAAGTGTTACACTTCAGTTGAGTGTTTAACTTCAGATAAGTGTTTAACATTAGGTAAGTGTTTAACTTCAGTTAAGTGTTTAACTTCAATTAAGTGTTTAACTTTTAACTAAAAAATATAAAACTTGAGAAGTTTATAACAAGTTAAACATCTGCTGACTATTTTATAGCTTGCTAAAAATATTATTACCAACTTCCATATCAAGAAATTTGTATTTAAAAACTCTTTATGTCGTAGTCTTTATGTGATGCAATCAAAAGAACTACTGCTCTTTTGATTGCATCTAATCTTCATAATCGCTGAAATTAACGAATAATAATCGTTGAAACTAACGATTCATAATCGCTGAAACTCATGCTTATCAATCTTAAGCTAAAACTAATGCTTCATAATTTTGTGTAGCGGAAACCGGGGCAAGATGATTATCTTATCAATTTTTGTTGCTTTATTTTGTTAATTTGTTTTCAAGGATAGTAAAATTAATTTTACATGAACATGTTAGAGTAATCTTTTCTGATGTTAAATATGTTAACTTTATAAATAAATGAAAAAGAATATTATTTTTTCACAACCTTAGCAATATGTTCTTTATTTTTTGAAGATCATTTTGACTATGGGGCAAGATGAGAATAGTTGAACATATTTTATCTTTTTAATATTTTACATGATTTAGCAAATGATAACTGTGTTTTTGCATCTTACAAACCATCAAACTGATTGGTTGGATGATTTATATGATGATTTTTTACTACTCGGGTCTAAGGATAATAATTATTACCAACAACATTATGAGCAATAGTTTTTGCAGCAGCAAAGTCATTTTTGCTAAACACAAGTGAACTATAAGGCTCGATCCCACATTCTTTAAGCCCATAAACGGCATTTCCAACTGTAGCTGCTTTGAAGTAAGCGGTGCTCAAAAGCTCACCAATGTTTTAATCTGTGATAGGTTGTCTTGGATAAATGATCATAAAGTTGTTACATGCTTGGATATATTAGATCTTTAATGGGCCAAAAAATGAGACATCAAGGGCTTGGAGTTGATGTAAAGTGTGGGGTAAAAGATAAAAAGGTTTCCTTGTTACTCCAGCCGTTATTACTACAGTGACCTATAGTTCCTGGGGAGGGGGGGGGCCTTCCTACAAGTTCAGGAAACATCCGTTTTCTGGCAAATATCAGAAAAAGTATCAGGTAAATGCCGGGAACGCCAAAGTAATAAGTTATAGTTACATATCTTCCACTTTCTGTTGAAATATTTTTAGAAATTCTTCTAAATCTTATAGGACTGAGAACCATTGGTAGCTTATTAGGCATAGTGAACAGACCTGACTCATCTGCAATGTAAATTAATATAAGTAGGGAATTTATATTTATCCTTTTTTTACTTAAAATGTTAAAAAACTTGTCTGCACTTTATTTATTAAAACCCATTGCTCTGGGAATCAATGTTGCTTTTAGTTTGCGTACACTAAATTTATGATTCTTTGTAAAATCATCCAGCTAATTTTCTCCTTCTGCTGTTATGTAGAAAAATGCAAAAAGCATTTTTTCCATTGCTGTTATATAGGATTTTAAATCTTCCTGCTGCGCAGTACTGCACGTGTTAAAGACTTCTCGAAATTTTCATCCTTGAATCTAGTGAAAAAAAATTTCAGGACTTAGATTTTAAATATTTGAATACAGATTTAATAGCTGGATTTTAAATAGGAAGTTAGGCCAACTATTACTAAGCTTAAATTGATACTTTTTTAAAAAATCTGTTTAAAATTTATCCTCACGTTTTCATTTTTTTTAAGCTGCGACAAAATGCAGCTAAAAGTACGTGAAACGCATTTGCAGAGGCTAATCATTTTTTGCTCCATTCATTTCTTGAGTTTTTCTTTTTATATTGTCTAACCATATCTGGAATATAATTATATATACAATATATCATTTATAAATAATAATGAATAAGTATTAACTAACTAACAAATAAAACTTTAAACCAAATAAATAAAACATTTATTTTAAATAAATTATTTAGCTTATTTGTATATTGTATATAATTAATTTTGTATTTAAGAAAGCTGAATTCTATTCTCTTATTCTATTTATTCCCAGCGGAACTCTTACAAATAGAATTTTTGTAATTATCTTTAATTGATTGCAATCTTCTTACGATATTGAGACTTCTTTGCGGTCGTTTTTCTCCTTCTTAAATTGTGTTATTTAAGAAGGAGAAAACAGCTTCTGGATCATAATCGTGGGTAGTTTAATAAATTCCAAAACACGAGGCAAGTTGACGAGCTCACCATCTTCCCCCAATCATCTTGCCCCATATTGCCTGTTTAAAAATAATCGTTTTCCTTTTTTGATAAAAGTTAGTACTTAAACTAAATTACTTATAAATGTTAAGGAGAAACAAAATAGCTTACATATTACTTGTAGCAGAGTTTATTTACACGTGCATAAAAGTTATAAGGTGGCAATCGACGCTAAAAGTTATAAGTTGGCAATCAACGCTTTAAAACTAAAACAAAAATGACGATTTCAGCGTTTCTGTACAATTTTTAGTGAACAACATTTAGAAGAACCGAGTGAAAAACTGAAAATTTAAAACATTCTTTATCTTGCCCCAGTCTTCATCTTGCCCCGGCCTACCTTACATGTTGAAACGTATCAAGGATCAAAAAAACATTTTCTGTTTTTTTTTTGCAAGCAATTTAAGACAAAGCGAGCTTATAAAATGACTAAATTACAAAATGAATAAATCTGTAGTAACTTCAACATTAAAAAATCCCAAAATTTTTAACAGCGGAAAACAATTTTTAAGTTCATTTTTAAATCATGTACTTGTAAATACCAGAATAGGGTGTAAAGATCTGGGTCAGCAGTTATACTCTAATTGTTGATAAGCTCAGAATGTTTACTATAAATTAATACATTTTTTTACAGAAACTTGTTGCTCCTACTATTTGGTTCAGGTACTCTTAAACGATGCCTTTATTTACATTTGATAAACTAGTAATACTAATGACACTACTTTTCAGGCATACTAACATCTATGTTGAATTTACTGTTTTTTTAAACTTTTAATAACTCTTTAAGTTCTATTGCATTTATTTTAAATATAAAGAATTACTGATTCAAAACATGTTAATTTTTTTTAACTTCAGCAATTAAGTTACTCCTAATTTAATTGGTTTGTTTGCGTTTTCGTGTAAACATTTTATATACATTTTTAATGATAACTTTGGCATATTTTGTCCAATCATTTTAAATGCAGCGCTTAAACTTTCCCGTAACGTTAAGAAAAACTAGCTTTCTTTAACTTTAAATTAACAAATCTCGGGCCGACGACACGGGGGGGGGGGCAGAAGAGGGCACGTGTCCCCCACCCCTACTTTTTTTCTGAAAGACATTTTTTTTTTAAAGAAAAATCTTTATATAGAGGACTTTTTTCACAAATTGATGATTGTGCCACTTCAAAACCCGTTTCATCGGCCCTGAATCTTAACTATAATACTAATATAATACTAATATACTATAAAAATAATATAATACTACTAATGATAATACAATAATAATACAATTCGGTAATGTACTATATTTAATATTTTTCAAAAATAATGTTGGATTTAAAGTTAGATTTAGAATTAATAATAATAATTTTAAAATAAGCAACCGAATATTGTAGAACACCAAATAATGAACAATAATGACAAATAATAAATATGAATAACGATCTCAGAGAAATAAGTATATAATAAATAAAAATACCAAAAATATTTAGAAAAGCTTACCGATGGCTTAATCCGCAAACCAGCCAACTCCATGTTTGGTCGAAATCCAGATTTTGATGTTATTTTGTTGATCTTCAAATTTTCTATGATATGCAAAAAGACCATAATTCAAATAAAATTATAAATACATTAAATCACCCCGCACACATACCGCCACCCCGCACACATACTTGCCAACTCCAGGTGTACAAAAAACTAAAAGTACTAAGATTTATTAATCCAGCTCCCGACAATTTTGTCATTTTGTATTGTGAAGTGTTAGATCGCGGAGTTTAAATTTTTAATATAACTTATATATTAATACACACATTTGAAGCTTTCAAAATATAAAGAACCTGAATTAAAGAAAGGTAAGTTAACTTTTTAAAGCATATTTGTTTCCAAAAACAGTTAAATTAAGTTTGATAATTACTTTACAATTACATAATCAGCTCCTTTTGTATATTAATACTCTATTTGGTTATGTTGTAGTTATTTCTTAATCCTATATTGCACATATTTATTTTAAAACTTTGAAAAAAACGGACAAACAAAATAAAAGCTATTAAACTTAGAAGCGTAGTTAAAAATTCAAAAGCCAGTAGTAATTATGTCAAAATTTTAAAATACGTTTTTAAGTTAAATAACTTTTATTTTATTTGTCCGTTTTTTTTCATTTAATGCAAGCAAAGACAATAAATCAAAGAGAAACTCCTGCAAAGTTAATTTTATTTGACAAAAAAAAAGGTTTTTCTTTTTTTAAAGGTGTGTTGCCAATTGGAAACATTATGCAATATCGGGTTAATACTTGAATACATGAATCTTGAATACATGAATTCCTTAAAATGATTAAAATATACTTGATTTTTTAGAATGTCATTTACCGAAGACATTGGTCATTGTAATGGAGAAATACAAAGTAATTTTTCATATTCTCATAAAGACAGTTCTATCGAAACAATTCCTTTTTTGATCTTCGACGAAGATTTTATGTTATCCAATTACATTTCTGTTTTCGATAAGGAAATATTCCCAACGCA